TTTTGTTGGAGCCTGTGTATAATTGCTAGATCATTGCATGTATTTCTATAAAACAGTGTTGAAGATAGGAATATCGTCCCCTCCCCCGGCCACCTCTGTTCATATTCTTCGGCAAGACTGTGCCTTAGGCCTCCGTCTTATGCATGCGTAGATGGTGAAAAGGCCGCCTGAGTGGTTGGGGCCTTCTGGGGACTGAAGGAGGTTCCTTTGTCTAAATATGACAAAGATTGCGAAGCCTCGGGCCCTCATATTGCAGCGGTGCAAAAGGCCAGGCATCTTCAGTTGAAGGATCATGTAGCAGGTGATGGCTGGGGTGGTGGTGGGGGCTGGACTTTGTTAGAGAACCTGGAGATCTGCTGCCAGCCAGGGTAGACACTACGAAGTTAGAGGAACCAACAGTGTGACCTGGCATGCGTCTGTTTCTTGTACTCATGTTTGAATGCAGGAAATCCGCTTGCTTCTGCTTTGGAAAACTGGGCAGTAAGATTGAAAACATGAGTGTATGTTGCTTTTCTTCCCTGCTCCTTTTTCATATTAGCAAAACTAATAAGTCTCCCATAATTCTTTTCCTATTGTACCAGGCAAGGAGAAGTCATTCAAATGTGTGGTATGGGATTACAACTCTATGGATACCTTATTATTTTATCGCAGGCTCTTGTGCCTCCTTGTTTCATACAAATGACTGGACTAACTATGTTGCTGCACAGAGAGCAGCAAGGATATTATACACCAATCATAATTATTACCCATGATTTCACTTGGCAGTTTTGCCTTTTACAATCCTGCTCCTGGTGAAGAGGCAGGCAAGGAGTGACTTGGGTCGAGTCTTGGGTCCCAGAGAGGTAGAAATGGGAGCTGCTAGAACTGCTTGTAAGGGTGAACAAAAACCATGAAGTAGTGGGTGAGCCGGTGTGAGTTTTTTTACTAATCTTCTAAAATACTCTTGGGTTTGCCTTGAAATTCCTCAGATACCTCATCTGAGGAACCATATCTAAATTGGCTTTTAACTCAAGTTAAAATGGTGCGGGAGGTCTACGTAAGACACCACTGGCCTTTTTGTGGTAGCCAAAAACATGCAGAAGGAATGAGCGCAGGTGGGAGAAGAAAAGTCAGGCCAGAATAAGCAAATTGAGGGCAAAGAGAACAAAGGGTGATATCCGACTTGGCACCTGCTACATACCTATTTTCCATCAGCGAAGCTTCATTGAAATTGGCAAGAAGGTGGTGATTAGCTGTGCTAACTTGGCTCAAATTTAGGAAGCATGGGTATATTGCTTCTTTTTTACCTACTGCCTGGACCTTTAAACATGTTTGTTTATGCATACATTTATTTTAGCACTTTTATTTATTTGTGATAACAGTTTAGAGAGTAACCAAAACAGGTGCATGGTTGGAGAGAAATAATACATTTCTGGTCTCATCTCTGACCTGGTTTTCTTTGGTGCTGCTTATAGTTTTGTGGTAGTAGATACAGATGATGGATATTCTGTCCTTTCTGCCGTCAAAACTGGTTGCAGTGAACTTTGATATTCAGGGTGTGAATGGAACTGGAGCATCGTGTGCAGAACTGAATCCTCATTGCTTCATTGCTATGCATCCTTCACGGAGTTATTTGCACTGTGGTTGGGTGGAGCGGATTTACATGTGGAATTATTTCTTACATAAGTTATTTGTCTCTTGTACAGAAGATCAGGTTGAAGCTTTGGCACCTGTTACACACTTATGGAACAGAGTTAAACAAAACAGTACTGTTGTTAGTACTTCTTTATTAGACAAGAGCTACTATTCATAGAAAGATTAACTGAATTTTACATGACATTGATGCCTAATGCAATCTTCAGTTGGCCCAAGAGAACTATATTCTCTTTTGGTTTGTTTGTTTGTTTGTTTCATAATATTTGTTCAGGATTTAACCACTGTAAACAGCCTTGGGTTTCTTGGATGACAGGTAGCATTAGAGCATACTAAATATAAAAAATATCTTCTTTATTTCTTGAATTCTAATTTGTCTCTGGCAAAAGTAGATGTGGGACTCCAAAGAAGGAAGAGTAATCTTTAAGTTACTTGGTGGGGCTATTTATGTAGAATTGTGGTTTACAGTTATTATTGCAGTTTTCCCCTAAATATTGAGCCAGGTATGTGATTTTTTACGGCAGCCACCATTTAAAGCCATTAGGGGTACAATCCTATGCTTGTTGAGACAGAAAAAAGCCTACAACTCCCAACATGCCCCAACTAGCCATGGTTGGGGTATCCTGGGAGTTGTAGGTTGTTTTTCTTTCTAACATGAATTGTGCCCTTACTTTTACAGCTGTCTGGCATGCCTCTCGGCCACCTTATTTTGCTGCCATTTCCTGGGTTCGCTGGAATGCTATACTCTCTGCTGTTTTGGTACAGTAAATGCACTCGGTAATATCTATTATGGCGTGGTCAAAGGATAATTTATTGTCAAATAGAAAAAAATAGGTCAACACTAATGTCACTTGATGATCAACCCCCCCAAGTTTAATAAAACATCTCACCAGCATGCATCCTGCACAGCGGTTGATATTTTATTACAACTGCAGTACCTGAGCTATAGCAGCAGTGTAATTACTGAGCTGTCAGAGTGATAAGTGGGATTAATGGCAGCCTGATGCACTTTAGTCTGCAGAGCGCTCTGAGAATTGGAAGATGGTGTTGTTATAAGAGTCTGTCTATACTGGCATATTCACGGCACTTCCACCCCCTCCCCACCCAATGCCACAAATTCAAGTTTGTATTGCCCTGCCTCATTAACATTTGACATTTTCAACAGCTGTTATTTGTGAGCCAGCTCAATAATAAAAAAAGAGAGAGATTATTTGGTAAAAGATGCATAATGACGACACCTAATAATCTGTACATATGCTATACTGCTAAAATCACTTCCTGGGCAATTCTTAATTAACTATTATTTTTAGAAGTTTAAATGCAAAAGGCGCTCACTTGATCTGATGTTTGCTCAGTGCTGACTCCCAAGCTGTCAAATTTAAAATCATTCTAGTTTATTTGAGCTCTACTTTGTTGCAAGCTAACAAAAAAATTAGTGTACACAATTAATATTTTCTCAGATGTAGCATTTCTCATGTTTGGTCTTTTATTCAATTAAAGATATCAAAGCCCAGGAAAAAACTGGCCAAAATTAGGAAATTAAACAAATGAGCAAACACATTTTCCTTGTGTTCCCCCCTCCCCCTGCCACCCTGGTCAAAAAATAGAATCACTGAGAAAAGCCACCTGGTGAATTGTTTCCATTCCTCCTTGAAAGTTTCTGGGCCTTCGACATGCTTATGCTAAGCCAAATCTCATATTAAATCTCATCTTGAGCATCCTGGCTTCACTAGACCTGCTGTATCCTATTCTGGAGATGCCTCCTTAACATCTGTCTGAGACTTGAAGATACCCATATAGAACAATGTTCTGTCTGCAGCATGTGTGTTTAAGCTTCCCACCTCATACCCACCACAGGGTTTTTATTTCAGCAACAAATACTCTGCTTGTTGGAGATTATGGGATTCAGCAAAGGATATTGGCTTGCTTAAGGCTACCTAATGTGATTGTGGCTGGCTTCCCAGCTCTCGCATTCTGCCACCACGCAGGAGCAAACAAAGCTTTGTCCATGGTGCTGCTTTCTTCCTATTACAAGAATTGTTTGGGGTTGGGTTAAGTATACAAAATGACTCTTACTGGCACAAGCTTTCAGTTTTCCTGAAGACTGATTATAAGTTTTTAGAGTGATGAGGGTAGAACGATAGAAACATTATTGCTTGTAGTGTGTACACTAATGCCACAATAGACTCTCACACTCCTGCAGAATCTGTGTGACTAGAAGGAACCCTGGGATGAAAGAAAGGAATGTGTCAACCATGACCCATGACGCCTCTTTTCATAGTTCGTTATCTCATCAGGAGGTGCAATACGCCTGCTTATTGTCTCCTGGATTTGGCTTTCATGTTCGACATCATGCATTTCTAGTCTTTAATTGCTATCAGAGATTAAAATTAGTTAACCTACTATGGCCATAGCTGCATGATCCTGTCCCCACTGCCTTTGTAGCATAAACACAAAGAGCTGTTTGGAAGTATCCGCTTTCTTTTTAAATGAATCACAGTTTGCCCTTTTGTCCAAATAGAGTACTGTGCTTTTAACAGTATTTTATTGGAAGGAATCCTGGAATCCTAATTGTGATTCATAACTTGAAGCTGGCTTGTTTGGACAAATTATAATCAAAACTAACCATAGTTTATCCTTGTTCGGAAGTAACGTTAAACTGTGATTAGTTGAAACTTAAGCAATGATTCCAGTCTCTTCACAGCTATGCTAAAGGAAGAGAAAGAAGGGTGAGTCCATGATCCTGAAGTTAATTTGCATAACACTAAACTGTTTAGCATTACTTCTGAATGTGGCATACATGATTTCAGTCACATGAAAAGATTTTAGCCATATAGCAATCCTATTGGATATAGGATAATACATGACTCATATTTCTGAAATGTTCAGTATAAACAGGCCCAGGATGGAAGTCATAATTCCTTGTTTTCTTGACTATCTAGTGTTAAATTTGCTTAGAGCCATAGAACAAACATAGGAAGATGGGAGGAAAGATAACTTGATAATGTCTGATACAGTAAATACTCCCTATTCATTTTGCCAGTTGGAATAAAGACTCTGGGAAAGAGTAATATGTCATCACATAATTCATGTCACAGCATTTGTGCTTAACAGAGTTGTCTTTTATGGGTGGCTTGATTCTGACTTTTGAGAGCTGACTGATCTGGTGGTACTTGCCTTGATTTACCTATCTGTGACGTGGGAATAACAGTGTATGCTCTTGGGAGCATTTCTAAATTGCTGCCCGAACAGGAAAGCATTATTAATTTTTAGATTGATTAGCTTCTGTCAGGTACACAGAAAAATCACATGTTGTTGGCAGTGCTTTGTGCTGTAAGTTGCTTTAACTCATTTACTTTCTTCCCCAGGTGCTTAAAGTGTGCAGATGCCCCCTGTCAGAAGAGCTGCCCAACTAATCTAGACATCAAGTCATTTATCACAAGTATTGCAAACAAGGTAAAAAGAAAAAAGAAAAAGAAAAAAGAAAAATAGTCTGGTTCACCAAGTAAATGAAAGGCAAAAGCTGCAGTTGCTACATTTCTTTTTTCTATGATTGAATTACAGCCCTTATCTTTGTGTGTAGCTTAATGAAATAATGTTTAGAGCAGCTATTATAAAATTTAGCAGACTTTTCTTAATTGCATAATTATTTGTGCTACTTTCCTGTGGTGATATTATGCAATAAGCACACAGTCAGTATGTATACTAAGTCTGTCCTTTCAAATAATTAGATATACTTTTATTTGCATTACTGTTGGTTTGGGTTGGTCTTCCTTAATTTACAATATTTTTGAAAAGATAGTTATGGAATAGATTCACTGTAGAACTCCGATAGGCTGTTGAGGGTTTATTTTTTTCCCTTATAAAGTTTTGTCCTCTGAGGTCCTCTAATGCAAAAAAGCTAAATAGTTATGCCGTAAGTGCATAATGTAGGAAGGAAGTTGAGGCTTTCTTTTTCTAATTTCTTTTTTTAAAGAAGTAAAAAGGGCAACTTGAGCTAAATCTTGAGATGTAAGCCCTTGCATAAAGTGAGTGCTTCTTATCTTTGTAATGATTCCTTTAACTAAAGCCTATTTTTCTTGTTTAGTGGCAAAACATAGTTATAAGTATGATAATTAGCAGCATCTACTTCATATAATAGGATGGAATGCAACTAAGGAAGAGGATATTGAACATTACATTTTCTGTTTTGACTGCATATGGTACACATAGTTTACAACAAAAACATGAAGAACCTTTTCAGATCTTTGCCGCTTGAATGTTAGATTGGATTGGATCCATGCACTCATTTCTTCTTCTTCTTACCATGGATAGGATGTAACAAGAGGGAAGGGGAGGCATACTTAGGACTAAGTTCCTGTCCTGTTCGCATCCAGGGTAGAATCCTGAGGACCAAGCATCGTTTGAGCAAGCCATAAATGTGAATGAGAAACTGACAAGAAATAATTATTTGAAAACAAACAGTTCTTATTTGATGTCTTTGAGGGGCAGAAATAATTTGCATCTGGGTGTCAGTTAGCGTTCCCCTTGCCACTGGGTTCTCCTTCTCTATTAAGCCGTCTCATGGACACCTGTAGCAGAACTGAAAACATTGCATTGAAAGAGATTGTCAGAACTATCCAACAAAACAGGTAGCTTGGACCTTAAATCATCAAACATTCAACCATACTGCACTGTTTTCATTTTCAATGGCTTGGTGAAATTCTGTTGTATATTCCTAATTAATTTGAGATTCCTAATTTTATTCAGTGGGAAATGATGTCAGGAGAGGTTATGTATAGAGATGGAAAAGATGGGAATGGAAGTAGAAAAGGAGGAAGATTAACAGATTCCTAGGTGTGAGAGATGTAATTGCTGTGTAAGTCTTCGCTTTCTCTCCCTCTCTCCCTCTCCCTCTCCCTCTCCCTCTCCCTCTCCCTC